AAATACAAAAAATTAGCTGGGCATGGTGGCACGTGCCTGTAATCCCAGCTACTCAGGAGGCTGAGGCAGGAGAATTGCCTGAACCCAGGAGGCGGAGGTTGCGGTGAGCTGAGATCGCGCCATTGCACTCCAGCCTGGGTAACAAGAGCGAAACTCCGTCTCAAAAAAATAAATAAATAAATAGATAAATAGGCCAGATGCGATGGCTCACACCTGTAATCACAGCACTTTTTTTTTTTTTTGGCAGATTGAGAGCAGCTTGACATGGAGAAACCCCATCTCTACTAAAAATACAAATTAGCCTGGTGTAGTGACACATGCCTGTAATCTCAGCTACTTGGGAGTCTGAGGCAGGAGAATTACTTGAACCCAGGAGGCAGAGGTTGCAGTAAGCTGAGATCACGCCATTGCAATCCAGCCTGGGCAACAAGAATGAAACTCTGTCTTAAAAAAAAAATGGCTGGTCTAGGTGGTTCACGCCTATAATCCCAGCACTTTGGGAGGCCAAGGCGGGTAGATCACCTGAGGTCAGGAGTTCTAGACCAGCCTGGCCAACATTGTGAAATCCCATCTCTACTAAAAATACAAAAATTAGCTGCGCATGGTAGCAGGTGCCTGTATTCCCAGCTACTTGGGAGGCTGAGGCGGGAGAATTGCTTGAACCTGGGAGGTGGAGGTTGCAGTGAGCCAAGATCACGCCACTGCTGTCCAACCTGGGCAACAGAGTGAGACTCTGTCTCAAATAAGCAAGCAAACAAACAAACAAATAAAAATGATCTTTTGGATGGGTGTGGTGGCTCATGGCTGTAATCCCAACACATTGGGAGGCCAAGGCAGGCAGACTGTTTGAGGTCAATAGTTTGAGACCAGCCTGGCCAACGTGGTAAAACCTCTTCTCTACTAAAAATAGAAAAAATTAGCTGGGTGTGGTGGCGGGCACCTGTAATCCCAGTTACCCGGGAGGCTGAGGCAGGAGAATTGCTTGAACCCAGGAGGCGGAGGTTGTTGCAGTGAGCCAAGATCATGCCATTGCACTCCAGCTTGGATGACAATAGAGACTCTGTGTCAAAAAAAAAGAAAAAAAATTAGATGGGCATGGTGGCACATGCTTGTAATCCCAACTACTTGGGAGGCTGAGGGAGGAGAATTGCCTCAGTCAAGGAGGTGGAGGTTGCAGTGAGCCCAGTTTGCTCCCCTGCACTCTAGTCTGGGGGACAGAATGAGACTCTGTCTCAAAATATAAATAAAATAAAATAATCTTTTAGTCCGGGGGTGGTGACTCACGCCTAGAATCCCAGTACTTTGGAAGGCTGAGGCGGGTGGGTCACACGATGCCAGGAGTTTGAGACCAACCTGGCCAACATAGTGAAACACCATCTCTATTCAAAATACAAAAATAGGGCCAGGCACAGTAGGTCATACCTGTAAATCCCAGCACTTTGGGAGGCTGAGGCTGTCAGATCAATTGAGGTTAGGAGTTTGAAACCAGCCTGGCCAACATGGTGAAACCCTGTCTCTACTAAAAATACAAAATCTAGCTGGGTATGGTGGTGGGTGCCTCTAATCCAGCTACTCAGGATGCTGAGGCAGAACTGTCTGAGCCTGGGAGGCAGAGGCTGTAGTGAGCTGAGATTGAACCACTGCACTCCAGCCTAGGGCAACAGAGCGAGACCCTGTCTCAAGAAAAATAAAAATAGGCCGGGCGTGGTGGCTGACGCCTGTAATCCCAGCCCTTTGGGAGGCTGAAGAGGGCAGGTCACCTGAGGTCAGGAGTTCGAGACCAGTCTGGCCAACATGGTGAAACACCCCCACCCCCCCGCCATCTCTACAAAAAATACAAAATTATCAGGTAAGTCTTTATTAGCAGATAAACAAAATTACAAAATTAGTTGGGCCTGGTAGTGGGCGCCTGTAATCCCAGCTACTTGGGAGGATGAGGCAGGAGATATTGCTTGAACCCAGGAGGTCGAGTTTGCAATGAGCCAAGACTGTACCATTGCACTCCAGCCTCTGTGAAAAGAGTGAAACCTTTCAAACCTGAGAATGAATGGATCAAAATGCTGGAGGGGTCCGGGTGCTGGAGTTGCCAAACTGCTGGCCTACTCAGGTTTCCCGGCTCATAAGGGGAGGTCCAGGGGTCAAATGTCGGGTTCCGGTCAAGCCCGCAGGGAACCGGAAGTCCCAGATCCGGTAGCCTCAGAGCCCAGGGCTTCACCCGGCGACTCACGCTCCGGAGGCGGAGCTTCAGCAGCAGGAGGGGGAGGAGTCTGGGTCTCCCCAATGGCAGCTCGGGTGTCTTCCACCACAGCCAATCAACGCCGGGAGACGGTCAAATTTAAACCCCCTCCCATCTCCTCCGCCGGGACCTGTCGGGAAAGCGTTTGTAGAAAGTGAGGCGGCTGGACCCGCCCCCGCCGACGAGGCGGGGAGTAGGGTGGTGCCTCCCTCCGAGTTCACCTATCGGGAAGGGCAGTCTGCGGAGAGGCGGGCGGCGGCACCAATCCGGTCGAGCAGCTGGAGTCCGGCGGAGCAGTTGGCTGCAGTTGTTGCAACTTTTTTCGAAAGCCGGGTTTCCCGGGAGATTCCAGGCGGTGACAGAGTGAGACCATGGCTAGAGGTATTTGCCCAAGTGGCCGGCGCCGGGGCGTCTGGGTTGGGGTTCGCGCTGGAGGGATGGGGGCCGGGGTGGCGGTAGCCGCTGCGGGGAGTGTCCTCCTGCGGGTGGTTCGGAGCGAGCTCGGGGACCCTCGTGGTGAGAGTAAGGGTCCTGCTGCGGAACCCTCCCGACCCCCCTGCGGCTCCCAAATCCCCCAGAAACCTTTTTCACTGCCGTGTTTCTGTTTCCCCTCTATGAAGTGAGCACCTGCGGGCCTGCCTCTCCACGGCAGTGGGTCCATATGTCAGAGCTCTTTGCAAACTAAAGCGCAGGGCACCTCCAGGGAATAGGTGTTATTGATAGAAGTGGAGCGGGGGCGGGAGTGAGGCTTCGTCCACTTTGGGGCTGTCTCTCGTTGGGAAAGGAGGTGTTCCCTAGGCGAGGGCACAGATGGATAACCTGCATCTTGGGGAGCGTGTCAGGGTGGACACCGCGGCAGGTGCCTTTCCTTCCTCCCCACGTCCTGAGTCAGCTCTGTGCCGCGGAGCGATGACCAGGCCCCGCTGGCCCACTTTGAGATGAAACGGGTTTCTCGTACCTCTCGGGCGGGGTCCTTCACCCTGCATCTGGTCAGGACTTCGCCCCGCCCCCGGTAGATGGCTTGGGTGGGCTTGTACAGCCCTGGGAGACGATGTCCTGCCTGAAGCCCTTTGCATACTTAGTTGGCTGTCAGGACAGTGCAACCCAGGTATGCGGCAAAGAGATCTCCAACTGCTTGGTCATTTCCAGCCACTGCGTCTCTTTCACGCTAAAGGGACGCTCAAAAACTTGAGCGTGAAAGTTGAGTAGAATTATTGTTAAAAAAAAAAAAATAAGTTGGAGTATTATATTTTTCTCAAAATTTCAAGGCATCAAGTGTTAGTAGGAATTTGCTTTAGTGCAGTATGCCCCCTATAGCAATAATAATGAATAAAATAATGATTCATTCAGCAAATATTTATTGGGTCCCTTTGTTTTCAGGCCCTGAAGTCAGTTGCATCATTTATTCTCCCAGCATCCCTAGAGGGTCTTTTTTGATAAGACTTACCCAAAGCCTGATGAAAAAATGAGGCATAGTGAACTTCAGGTTAAAGAGCTTCATCACCCAGCTCATGAAAAAAATTAAGACTAATATTTTCCCTTAGAAAAGTGTTAAGCATGTAAAAGTATATTTTATCTGACAAATTTTAATAAAACTGTGCTTCCTGGGTTCATTTTTCTCAACACAGCAAAATCATTTAAACTACTTGTCTTAAAAGTAGTGCATTAAGGCCGGGCGCGGTGGCTCAAGCCTGTAATCCCAGCACTTTGGGAGGCCGAGGCGGGTGGATCACGAGGTCAAGAGATCGAGACCATCCTGGTCAACATGGTGAAACCCCGTCTCT